ACTGTTAGTACGACTACCCGGTACTAGGAATTGGTACTCCTCCTACAAATACCACTACTACCACAAAAAAATCAATACACTTGGCCATTACTTCTACTATTATTACTATTTTTCCCAACCATCCTGTGGTGTTGGGTCCTCGTTTTGAAGAGACGGTGCCCGCGTCCTCTCCTCTCCTCCTCTCCTCCTCTCCTCCTCCTCCCCCTCCTCCTCCCTCCTCCTCCCTCTCCTCCCTCCTCTCTGCGTTTCACCCACCCATTACAGCGCTTCGTGGCTCCATAGGGAGCTCCACCGAAGGCCCCAGTGGGGGTGTTCGCATGCGGTTCCCCCACCCAGGGCAGCGTTTCGTGGCCCCATAGGGAGCTCCACCGAAGGCCCCAGTGGGGGTGTTCGCATGCGGTTCCCCCACCCAGGGCAGCGTGTCGTAGCCCCATAGGGAGCTCCACCGAAGGCCCCAGTGGGGGTGTTCGCATGCGGTTCCCCACCCAGGGCAGCGTTTCGTGGCCCCATAGGGAGCTCCACCGAAGGCCCCAGTGGGGGTGTTCGCATGCGGTTCCCCCACCCAGGGCAGCGTTTCGTAGCCCCATAGGGAGCTCCACCGAAGGCCCCAGTGGGGGTGTTCGCATGCGGTTCCCCCACCCAGGGCATCGTTTCGTAGCCCCATGGGGAGCTCCACCGAAGGCCCCAGTGGGGGTGTTCGCATGCGGTTCCCCCACCCAGGGCAGCGTTTCGTGGCCCCATAGGGAGCTCCACCGAAGGCCCCAGTGGGGGTGTTCGCATGCGGTTCCCCCACCCAGGGCAGCGTTTCATAGCCCCATAGGGAGCTCCACCGAAGGCCCCAGTGGGGGTGTTCGCATGCGGTTCCCCCACCCAGGGCAGCGTTTCGTAGCCCCATAGGGAGCTCCACCGAAGGCCCCAGCGGGGGTGTTCGCATGCGGTTCCCCCACCCAGGGCAGCGTTTCGTGGCCCCATAGGGAGCTCCACCGAAGGCCCCAGTGGAGGTGTTCGCATGCGGTTCCCCCCACCCAGGGCAGCGCTTCGTAGCCCCATAGGGAGCTCCACCGAAGGCCCCAGTGGGGGTGTTCGCATGCGGTTCCCCCACCCAGGGCAGCGTTTCGTAGCCCCATAGGGAGCTCACCGAAGGCCCCAGTGGGGGTGTTCGCATGCGGTTCCCCCACCCAGGGCAGCGTTTCGTGGCCCCATAGGGAGCTCCACCGAAGGCCCCAGTGGGGGTGTTCGCATGCGGTTCCCCCACCCAGGGCAGCGTTTCGTAGCCCCATAGGGAGCTACACCGAAGGCCCCAGTGGGGGTGTTCGCATGCGGTTCCCCCACCCAGGGCAGCGTTTCGTGGCCCCATAGGGAGCTCCACCGAAGGCCCCAGTGGGGGTGTTCGCATGCGGTTCCCCCACCCAGGGCAGCGTTTCGTAGCACCATAGGGAGCTCCACCGAAGGCCCCAGTGGGGGTGTTCGCATGCGGTTCCCCCACCCAGGGCAGCGCTTCGTGGCCCCATAGGGAGCTCCACCGAAGGCCCCAGTGGGGGTGTTCGCATGCGTTTCCCCCACCCAGGGCAGCGTTTCGTAGCCCCATAGGGAGCTCCACCGAAGGCCCCAGTGGGGGTGTTCGCATGCGGTTCCCCCACCCAGGGCAGCGTTTCGTGGCCCCATAGGGAGCTCCACCGATGGCCCCAGTGGGGGTGTTCGCATGCGGTTCCCCCACCCAGGGCAGCGTTTCGTAGCCCCATAGGGAGCTCCACCGAAGGCCCCAGTGGGGGTGTTCGCATGCGGTTCCCACCCAGGGCAGCGTTTCGTGGCCCCATAGGGAGCTCCACCGAAGGCCCCAGTGGGGGTGTTCGCATGCGGTTCCCCCACCCAGGGCAGCGTTTCGTAGCCCCATAGGGAGCTCCACCGAAGGCCCCAGTGGGGGTGTTCGCATGCGGTTCCCCCACTCAGGGCAGCGATTCGTGGCCCCATAGGGAGCTCCACCGGAGGCCCCAGTGGCTGCTCTCGCTTGCGGTTCCCCCACCCAGGGCAGCGCTTCGTGGCCCCATGGGGAGCTCCACCGAAAGCCCCCGTGGCGCAGTTCGCATGCGCTTCCCCCACCCAGGGCAGCGTTTCGTGGCACCATAGGGAGCTCCACCGAAGGCCCCAGTGGCGCAGTTCGCATGCGGTTCCCCCACCCAGGGCAGCGTTTCGTAGCCCCATAGGGAGCTCCACCGAAGGCCCGCCCCGGTGGCGCAGTCCGCATGCGGTTCCCCCATCCATCCAAGGCAGCGCTTCGTGGCCCCATATGGAGCCCCACCGAAAGCGGCACCCACAACGCGTTACCAACAATTGCTTATGGTTGGGTCTTTCGCCAGGATAATTTTACTACTTTTACTACTACTATTACTACTACTACGACTACTACTACTACTACTACTACTACTACTACTACTTTCACCACTACTACCACTACTACTACCACTACTACTACTACTATTACTAGTACTACTACTACTACTACTACTACTATTACTATTAATCCTACCTACTACTACGACTACTACTACGACTATTATTGCCATTATTGGGAAACCGACCATAACTGCTAATTACTATTTCTACTGCTTTTATTCGTATTTTTCTACTGTTATTTATACTTCTACTTCTACTACTACTACTATTACTACTATTACTACTACTACTACTACTACTACTACTACTACTACTATTACGACGACTACTACTATTACTACTACTGCTACTACTACTACTAGTATTACTACTACTACGACTACTACTACTACTACTACGAGTAGTACCTCTATTGCTACATCCTGTGTGCTCTCTCACCCCACGAGCGAATGTAACAGAAAACGTGGGATGCACATTTGGAGAGTTCCACACAATGAGGGATTTTGGTTTGCCTTAAGGTAGTGTAATGTCTGCGATGTTTCGTTGAGTTATGGTGTCTACTTATGGTGGAAATCATCGTGCAACTAGCACCTTGGAAACGCTTACTGTATCCAAAAGGCATGCGTGATCGAGGGTCGGTTTCTTTTAGCCTGGGTCGTTTTTACGCAATCAATATTTACCGGATCAAATTGGCAAATTTAATTGGTACCGCATTGTCGATTTGATTGGTTGCTAAATATTTGCAGGTCACGTCGCCATAAGATGTTCAAAGCAAACGAATATTTGACAACAACAGGAACATAATTGACCTGGCACAAGAAAATAAACGCATTATATAATTTGAGAGCGACGTCTTCCCCTTGTCTTCGGCGTGTAACACTGATTCAGCTTAAACTTATTTTCTAGAAGCGTGACGCTGTGGGTCGTCGTGGGTGTCTTGGGTAGGATAACGAAATGGTGCACGTATGAAAGCGTGAATGCTGATTTTCCCCCGACGGCCTATCGTTTGAATGTCCGTTCTCATGCACCGTGGCGAGCTCGCCCAGACCCAATTCTGGTAAAAGGCGTGAGTGAATTCCATTCATGTTGGTGGAAAAACGTTTCACACTGTCGCTTCCATATCTTTGAGCAACATCTTAAAGAGATGGGGCAAACAAACATCATCACATATTATTAGTTTCATTTTCGTTTTTGGATGCCGCGCAACACTGCTCAACTTCTTCATCCGACCCGGAACAAAATAATGATACCAGCAAGTACCATGACCGCTAATTGTAAATACCGATGCCGCTACCCCGACAAGCATATTGCAGCGACGCGGCTGGGCTGCACCTTCTGGCCACGCGCGCTTGACAACCGATTGCTCCCTATGGAAGAAAGGGAACAAGAGAAGGACGCAAACCAAAAGGAAGTAGAGGACTGCGAGGCTAACACATTTATCCTGTCCAGCTCAAAAGGTGCCCAAGAGGCCCTCAATGGGGAACGTTCGCGATCAAAGTTCTGTTGACCTTCAGGAGCAGAACCTCATAGAGAGGGCACACGTGCGGACAACGCTCTCGTCCGATGGGCAGACTGCTCTCTAATTTCCGTGGCGCGAGAGACTGCTTATCCGAGTACGGGGCGCCGTCCAGGCAGGAGGAGGAAAGGGCGGAAGAGAAGGGAGGGGATGCAGGGAGAGACTCGGAGAAAGAAGGAGGGAAACTGGAAAGATCCGAATCGGACCCAGTCAAGTGAGAATGGGAGTCGGGGGGCTGGAAACTGAGGCCAGAGAATTCGCAAAACATCCCGAACATCCGAGGTGGGATGCGAAACCAGAGATCGGATGCAAAGCCGAACTTGGCGGATGACGAGACCAATTTCTGTGTATATATATATATACACTGAATAGAGTGTCGGTGAATATCAGAACCGATGTCGGTGGACATCCAGACCGATTTCGGTGGGCGCCACGCGCCGCTGTCGGTGGCTACGACAGGGGGCCGAAGTCGACGGACAACGAGAAGCCGCGACCTGGAATCCGCTGTGTGCTCGGACGTCGGATCTCCGCGGCCCTCGCCGTGCCACCCGGGCGCGCTCTCGAGGTGGCGTGCGGGCCCGTGGCCGGCGGCCGGCGCCCTGCTGCACCGAGCCTCCGAGCCCTTAGCGCCCTCCGCAGGTCGGGGGCGGCAGAGAGGGGGGCGCCCCACGGGGAGGGGGGGGCGGGGGACGTGCTGAAACGAGAAGAGGCGCCGTGAAGCCTGGGGAGATCTCGTGGCCCCCGCCACGAGATCCCCCCCCCCCGCCCTAGTCATCACCCCCCTCTGCCGCCCCCGACGCGGGCACGGGCTCGCGCAGCGGCGCCCCGGAGGGGCGGGAGAGTGGGCCCCACAGGGAGGGGCGTGCGTGCGCCCAACACCAAGACTCGCTGCCGCTCCGGCGCCGGCTTGCCATGCAGAGGCGCTCGTGCGCCGCGCGGCAGGGAGGAGAAGCGAGGGAGGAGGGAGGAGGGAGGAGGGAGGAGGAGAGAGTGGGCAGGAGGGAGGAGGGAGGACGGAGGAGGGAGGCGGAAGGGAGGAGGGAGGACGGAGGAGGGAGGCGGGAGGAGGGGGGGCGCCTCAACATCAACGTTCGCGCGCGCGCTCCCAGCCAGCAGGCAGCTGCTCTTCTGCACGGGGCTCGCGGGCGGCCGAGGGTGCTGGCACCTCGTGCTCGCACCGCGGGAGGTCACGCCCGCCCCGTTCCGTATCCGGCCGCCCACCCCAGGGCAGCATCCCTTCATCCGTGCACGCAGCTCTTCCTCCTTGTTGTGCTCCTGATCCTATGTCTGTTTGCTCGTTTACCGCTTGCATCGACCCCCCTTCATCCACCATCCTCCCCCATCCTCCACTCCCGGTTCCCTGTCTTGTCATGCCGTTTCCTTCCTGCGTCTCCTCCCCAACCTCCCAGCCCCAAACATCTGGCGGCCGCTAACATCCAGAAGTCCTGGGGGCTTCACACAGCGCTGCCACCAGGTACTTCCAGCGACGACTCGAATAAAGGAGCTCGGATGAAGAGGGGTCCTGCATCATGGCAATCGCGCAGGACTTCAACATGCAGGGAACGGGTGCTGTGTGAAACGGGTCCTGGACCCCAGGGCCTCCCCCCAGGACTGGGTCTTCCTCCTGAATGGTTTGCTGACCATCTTGGGGCCCGTGCAGGGCCCCAGGAAGCCGAAAACACTCAAAAAAACCAAGAGCCCGTTCCTCGGAGGACGCGCTTCCTCCATGGCGAGAGTGCGCGGAGAAAAGCTCCGAGCAGCCCTGGCACAGCGCGACTGCACCGGCACGTGCCACGCAGAGTCTTGCGGGCACGCCGGGGAACCGTGCCTGGGGAGGCTGGCCGCCGTCGGGGCCTGCACGGTCCGGTCCAGTCGGGCTGCTGACAGAGGGAACGGTCCACAAGAGACGAGGCCACGACAGTTCCAGGTCGAGCCATGCAATCCGAAGGGGCGGCCGCAGAATTCGAAGGAACACCGAAGGAACCTGCGACCAAACGAGCAGCGGAACCCATGCACATCTGGGGAACCATCGAGCCCCCTCCGATCTCGAGCTGGACCTCGTGTCAACGAACTGACTGCAAGCTCTCCGCTTCGTCTCCGCCTCCCCGTTCCAGTCGCCGGCTCTAGATCGTACAGGACCTTGCAGTGCACCACCGTGACCGATGCCGCGCCTCCTTTGACGGGCAGCCACGCGCAAACATCCATGCAGCTGCGTCGAGGATCATGCTTTCCCCAGACCATATGAGACATGCGTCATGGGGGTCGTCGAGGTGTTCGTCTGTCCGCCCACTGCCAGAACTCAAGATTTACGAATGCTGTTACTGCTGGCGCTTCCGCTACTTACTGGTGCTGCTGAACCACTGCTGCCGCTGATACTGCTGCAACCCTCAAGATAAATACTGTACTGATACGATGCTGGCATTACTGTGAGTACTGCCGTAATTACTTATGGTGCCACTGTGGTACCACTGACTGATACAACGCATGCTGCTAATTCCTTCTGGTGTCACTGGTACTCTGCCAGCGCGCTGGTTACTATTGGTGATACTGCCGCTTTCAAACGGTACTCCTATAACTGATTTTGACACTACTCCTCGTAATATGCCCAAAACTGCTGCCACTGCCCCTACTACCACTACTACTACTACTGCCACTGCTGCTACGGGTGCTCATGCGATAGACGTTGCCACTGTTGCTACGTCACTGCTGCTCCTAACACTGCTACTGCAGCTCCGAGTGCACATGCTGCGATTGCGACCAGCACGGCTACGATTACGGATGTCGGTATGACATCTGCTGTTTCGAACCACACGGGCACTTCGATTTACCGGATAACCGCTGACAGACATTGACAAGGGCGTGGGGACAGGGAATAAGGAGCTGCCTGGGTAGCCGCCCCCATTCCCCGCCGCTCTCCCCGATCCTTCTCATCCCCATCCTCCTCCAACTCCCTCGCTGTCCTCCTTCCTTCTCTACAAATCACAAAACACGAACAAAAATATCCGCTCTCTTGCCCAGCCAAGACGGTCTTGATCAACACACGAGACGCTGCGGGGGTGCGCCGTGGAATGCGCTTAAACAATTACGAGGCCCAGTCTCCCTGTACACTCGTCCCAAATGTGCCAATGATGCCAGCGCTTGGACCGCAAAGATACTCTAGCACCCTGCATCTGTCGACAATGTGGCGCAATGCGAGCACGCAAAACAGCTTCAAGCCGTGAACCAACCTGGGAAACCACAGGGCACTGATTGGGACCCGCTGGCTGCGGCACCTTGGATCATCAGGGACCAGCCATAGGGCACCGAGCCGGAGAAGCAAAGGGCACCAACCATAAGGCCACGACTGGAGACGGCCGACGGCAGCACAGCGGGAACCACTGACCATGCAGCAGGGCACCGAGCAATAGAGCACCGAGCCAGTAAATCACAAGCCTCAATCACAAGGCACACACCAGAAAACGGCCGACTGCGGCGCCGCGGAACCGAAGGGCGTCATCCATCAGGCAGCGAGCCAGGGAACCACTGAATCAGCCGACTGCGGCACCGCCAGAACCGCACCAACCTGAGGGCCCCGAGCAAGGGAACGATGTGGCACCAGCTCAAGGGAAGCGACAGGAAAGGGCAGACTGCGACAGCGGAGGCCTGTTGATTATCGGAGCAGCCAGCTAGAAGACTCCTACGTGCAAACGCTGCTTTGTGAAAACGTCGTCGCTGACATCCAAATCCAAGCCCATGCCCATGACCCAATCTAATCTTCTTGAGGAAAGACAAAAACTAGAAGATAACTTGAGCCGAGGCCATTCGATCAATGTCTGCACACATGCTTGTTAGAATGCCTGCAGGCAGACGTCGCTGCTTGCTTGCCAGCCTGCTTGTCTGCGTGCTTACATTACCTCATAGTTGCTCTCGTAATTGCTTGCTTCTTTACCCGAGTAATTGTGTGACTGCTTGCAGACAGTACTGTAAGACATTGGCATCACATCACATGCTGACCTCGTCGCACGTTACCTGAGCATGTTCTACTGTGTAGGAAAGCGTGTCGCACCGCTGATGTGGAGACGCGGTGTATCAAAGTCTGCACGACTCCCTATCGCGCGGGTGAGACCAACGATTGCGCCACCACTTACCATGGCAGGAGCAGTAGTAAGAAAACACCGACCTTATACAGAGCAACGAACAAGCATTGAACGCCAATATCTATATGGGACGGCACCGAGGGCAACCAACCAAACCTCTCGAGCGAAGAATTGGGAACACATGAAAATACGGATTCGCAAAAACCTTCACCTTGCAACATTTTGCAAACTTGCCTTCGAATGCTCGACTGGGACGCACATGTTCGGAATGGTTGGCATACGTCGGCACGCGTGGCTTTGGACGGCCTGGGCAAGGCGAAAACCAGGAGGTCGAAGACACCGAAGCAAGCTGCGAGCAGTGCGGCTACAAGCTCGATGGGCACACTACTCCTCGCCCACGCTGATCGCGCTTGACGAGGTATGGCTCGTAGTCGATTAAGCTGCGGCGGTTCGTGTCGTAAGCATGTGGTGGGACCTAAGTGGGCCATATTCGTACAACCCCGCAACACTTGGCCACGGCGATCAGAAGCCATCAGTGAACCGCTCGTGAGCAGCAGGCTGCCTCCAGGCCAAGCCATCAGCCCACGCCGTCAGAGTGCCCACGAGCGAACGACGCGCAACATGCTGAAAACACGTCGAACACTTCAGGAGGAGGAGGAGGAGGAGGAAGAGGAGGAGGAGGAGGAGGAGGAGGAGGAGAGGAGGAGGAGGAGGAGGAGGAGGAGCAACGTATCGAGCAATGGCCGAATTGGTCGTACTCTGGGCGCGCTGCGGCGCAACAAACACCCGCCAGATCCTCCAGCAGCGCCGACGCGGTAGGCGAGCCGCGGGTCGCCCCGCACGAACATGGCGGCCGCACCTGGAATCGCCGCAGAGGGGGAAGAGATCCTCCTCCTCCTCCTCCTCCTCCTCCTCCTCCTCCTCCTCCTCCCCCTCCTCCTCCTCCTCCTCCTCCTCCTCCTCCTCCTCTGAGAGAGGACGGAGGCAGAGGGGGGGAGGAGAGATGGGAGGCGGGGGGCGACACTCTGCTGCAACGCATGGGGATCCTCCATACCGTCATGATGGCTCTTGCGAGCTGACGCTGATCGACGCCAGCCGAGGTTATTTTCTGCGCCAGTCGACGTTATTTCGCAATTGTTTCGTCGATTGCCAGACGTTAGCGCACGCTGATGCAATCTAAAAGCGGAATTCCGAGGGCACACAATGCTCCCATAATTTGTTACCAACTTGTAATGGGCTGGACATGGGCGCCCCCCCCAACACTGGCCTGACAAGAGTCACTCGTCCCTATGCAAACGGACATGGGGCATGAGGGACACGGTGCGCTCGTGCAAGTCTGCTTAGCACGAGAAGCGTTGGGATAAGGGCGGGACGTTGACGAAGGAGGACGTCGATGCGAGGATCACGAGACAGGGAGCTGGAGGCGACGGAAAAAAGAAATGGGAAAGGTCCTCTGAAGCGCGCTGACTCATCCCGCGACCTGCTGCCTAGATGAGCCGGCGCCAGAACCACCACGGAGTGCGCATACTGTGTCGAACGGCGGACGAAGCGTCTGCAGCCGCTGGGGCTGATGGTAACGAGAACGAGCCCCGTTGCAGTCGAAGAGCCTCCAATACAAGGGAGAAGCAAGGGGGCCGCGCGGAGGAGGGGGTTGCCGTCGGACTGTCCCCTGTGGCTTCCTGGTGGCGCACAGGTGCACAGGTCGGGGGCCAGGGCGGCCCGAATCAGGAGCGCATCGAGCCGCCGTTCTTGCTTCGCACGGCGGGCCAGTTATCACGGCCAGGATATAGCCGTCCTGGGCCGCTTCGATCCATCGGTTCAAGATGGTGGAATCCGTCAGATCTCCGTCGGTCAAGTCGGTCGCGATGTCCAGCGAGAGGACACACATGTGAACCTGCGGGCTGTGATCTCAAAAGTCCACTGCAGGTCCTGTTGACGGAGACGGCCAGGAAATAGGTGCAGCATGGCCTTGCACGCCGCTGGTGCAGAGTTCCAATGGGAAGGAGGACAGGCGGGGTTTCGCTTCGCTGTGGGCTCGCTTACCTAAGGGTTCGCTTCGCCAAGGGTTCGCTTCGCCTGGGGTCCGCTTCGCCTGGGGTCCGCGTCGTCCGCGCCCCTGGCGAAACGGACCCCCGCGAAGCAGACCTGGCAAACTGCACCCCAGCGCAGCGAACCCCCGGCAAAACGAAACAGGCGAAGCGAACCAGGCGAAACTGAATCTGGGCGAAGCGAACCTACGCCTGAGGAAGGGAGGGGGGACGAGTAGGAGGGGTGACAGGGAGGAGAAGCGCCACATGCGCATGCCTGCGCGCGCTCGTGCTGATCTGCGCGGCGACGGGAACAATCTATGTTTCGGCGCAATCATGGAGGAGCCAGCTGCCGAATTTCGCTGGACATTCAAACGAGGTGACCACAACCCGCCGTCACTTCAACGAGAACAGCCCTGCTGCGGCAACGTCTCCGCGGCGTCATAGCTGCACGTCTGCTGTCTCGATGGAGGTCCCGAGGTCTCTTGTGAGGCAGCGCGACACATCGAACAAGTATCGCAATTTCCATATACGCTCGTATACACACGACTTCCACCTGCAATCGACGAGCTACAACGACGCCTTGCAGTCAGCCTCCGATCTGGAGGCCACCGCGGGAAGGCACACGACGGTGGTGACGTCAGTAAAGAGCACGTCCGAGAGCAGCACTGCTGCGGTGCGCACCTGCTCGGCGCCCCTCTTGGAGGCCTGGCCCACCACGACCAGGGCCCCCACGAAGAGCCCCCCGCAGAGCATCCGAAGGAACGCCAGCAGCACAGAGAGGGAACGAAAACGATGACCATGACCAAGGCTGAAAGCGGAAACGTCGGTGCCGATTCCTGTCACCGCCAGCCTGTGGATCATCCTTGCACACCGGTGACGGCAGGCATGGACCATGACCAAGATCCGCATCGACGAAGTCCAGTGGCATCCCGTCACGGTCGTCGCGTTTCTGCCCGCGGCCATGGCCGTGTTCACCGCGCCCTGGAGGCCCGTGCCCGAGCGCCCCCCTCGGCGAGCCCAGGGCGGGGCCCGCTCCGGCGCTGGCCTCGCGCGCTCGGAGGCCCGAACCGTCCCCGAGAGCTGGCCGCACGCGCAGGGGCCACCGCGCCCCGGGGGGTACCTTATCATCCCCACCATCGTTATTTCACTATCATCGTCATCACCGTCACCACCATCATCACTACCATCATCACCATGAGCATCATCATCATCATCATCATCATCATCATCATCATCATCATCATCATCATCATCATCATAATCATCATCATCATCATCATCATCATCATCATCATCATCATCATCATCATCATCTGCATCACCGTCACCATCCTCATCATCATCATCATCATTATTATTATTATTATTATTATTATTATTATTATTATTATTAGTATTATTATTGCTATTATTATTATTATTATTACTATTATTATTATTATTATTATCATTATTATTATTATTAGTAGTAACATCAAAACATCATCATAATCCTTATCAGATTCATCATCACCACCACCATCATCATCACCATCATCATCACCATCATCATCTCCATCACCACCACCACCACTACCATCACCACCACCACCACCTCCACCACCACCACCACCACCACCGTCACAGTCACCGTCACCGTCACCATCACAATCACCGTCACCACTATAACCATCACCACCATCATCATAAACACCCTGGCGCGCACCTGGGTCCAGGGACAGCTTGCCGACGCTGCCGCTGGCCAGCTCGCCAGGGGTGCTCTCCCCGCCCGCGGGCCCGAAGGACACTTCCGCGCTGCAAGGGCACCTGGCTGGGCGGGGCAGGACGAAGGGCTTGGGGCAGGGCAGGGGCCGGGGCATCAGCAGCAGGGTTGGTTGATCGGCAGGAGGAGCGGGTCGAACAAAGGGGGGGGGGATGAAGAGCAGGACGAAGAGGAGGGGAGGATGGAGTCGGCCACGTTGACAGACACAGGGCCGCTAAGCGATGTAGCAATGCAGGGGGGGATGGGGGGGGAAGCGTGCTGAACGCCGACGCGCAGCCGACGTCGCGAGAGACGTGCAGGGATAGCGGTGGCGGTGGCGGCTGCGGCGGCAGCCCGTGGCGGCGACGGCCGCAAAAGGAGGATCGGAAGACGGGCATCCCTGTGCACGCGTACGCGCTCTGAGCCCTGAGCCCGGAAGTCTCCGTCCCGAAGTAAGCGCCGGTGCTTACATGCGGGTATCGTGGTTCAGTCCGAAGCGCGGCGCGACCCCGAAGTCCACGAAGATATACACGCTGGCCAGGATCACGTCGGAACGCCCAATGCAAATAAGAAGAAAAGACAGATGACGAAGAGGGGGGACGAGGAACAGGAAACATATAAAAAGGATAAGAGGATACATGTCAAGATAAATTATAATTCGTCCAGCAACACGAATTTTGTTTCATTAGAAAACATGCGACATATGGAAGTAAAGATGATGTCCCCCACGGGCCAAAGTCTCCTCTCAAGGTCTGGTCGGACATTGGTTTGTGCCTGAAGCCAATGCGAACCGCTGCTCCTGACCCACGCGACCGAAACCAAGAGCGGCGGCGGCGGAAAACAACATGACCGCGCCCTCTGGGCGCGCTTCGGCCACTCGGGGGGAGGAGAAGGCCAATGCTCTGAGGCGCGCTGGTTCGTCGACCCCGACGGCTGGATGACTCGACGGCCAAGCGCGGTCACTGAGACCGGCCACGGGGCACCGTCAGCCGGCCACCAACAAACATCGAAACGCCATCGGCCACTCGGCTGAGACAGCTAGGCCGCCAAGCAAAACAACTCGGAACAATTTTTTGTTGTTCTCGATTCTTTCCGTGCCCATCGTGAAAAAATAGGAGGGAAAAAAGGGTGAGGATGATGGAGGGGGAAGAATCATATGATGATGCTGATTCTGATGTTCCTAATAACGGTGATGGTGATGCTGATGATGATGAGGAGGAAAAGGAAGAGGAAGACGAGGAACAGGAAGACGGAAGAGGAGGAGGAGGAGGAGGAGGAGGAACGGGGGAGGAGGAAGAAGAGGAGGAGAAGGAGGAGGAGGAGAAAGAAGAGGAGGCAACAGAGGGGCGCGCATGCCTCCTGCCCCTCGCTGGCTGCAGACTTGTGGCGCCCCTGACCCAGATGGCGGAGCCGCAGAAGCCAGCAGCCATCCGAGGCGCCTGAAAGCTTGTGGAAGGCGTTTTTGAAGCAGGCTTGAAAAAGGATGCTCAACGACCTTGCCAGCTTGAAAGAGGGGTGCGAGAGATCCCAAGAAGCGCAGCGGAGGAGCTGCGCAACGACTCGCGACACACGTATTGGCGACGAGTTGGACAACGCTTCGGGGCAAACGGGGGCCTCCAACAGGTTGCTGCGGCGCTACCTGACTGGCAGCCGGGAGAAGAACCCGGCCTACCCTTGCCTGCCGGCTTATGATCTGAAGCCCTCCTACCTTTCCAAGAGGTGTTTGGGAATCTGCCATCCAGGAGGGTGGCAGGGGATCACCTTCCCTGGGAAAAAGGGCCAGCCGCCTTGGTGGCGACCGTCCAATCCGGTGCTTGCGCGTGCGCACGCGTCTGTGTGGCTGTGTGCGCGCGCGTGCGGGCGCGCCGCGGCTGCCCAAGCGCCGCGCCCGCCCGCGGCCCGCGCTCCCTCGGCTGGCCCCGCGCGCGCGCGGGGCGGAGGCGGCGGGCGCGAGGCGGGGCGCGGCGTTGCGGGGCGGTGGCTCGGCGCGGCGGGGCGTATGTCGTCGTCGTCGTCGTCGTCGTCGTCGTCGTCGTCGTCGTCGTCGTCGCGCGCGGCCTTTCCCCTCTTGCTCTGTCTCTCTTTCTGTTCCCTTCTCTTCCTGCCTTTCCCCAGGTTTTCGTCCTGGGGCCGCGCGCCCAGGCCCCGCCCGTTCCCTCCCTGCAGCTACTCCCGGTGCCTTCGTCTCGGGGCCGCGCGCCTGGCTCTTCCCCCTGGGCCGCGCACGCCCTGAGTCTTGTCCTCCAGACCGCGCGCGACCACGCGCCCAGGGTCCCGCTCCCCGGGCCGCGCCCGCTACGTGCACCCGTCCTTCCGGCAACGAAACTGGCAGTTTGTCCTTCGGCCCTGGCCAGACTCAGCATGCCCAGCTGGAATGCTCGTGGGGAACGGTTGCAAGGACGCTTGACAGGACGCCCAGCAAGCTTGCAAGCTTGTAAATGGGAGCTGCGCGCGAGGCTAGACAGCGCTGCGAAGGAGTTGCGCTGCGGCATAGGAATGAACATTTCCGGACACGAGCTCAAGCAAGGCGCTGCGGCGCTGCCTGACTGGCAGCCGAGAGAGGAACCTGGCCTACCCTTGCCTGCCAAGTTCTGAGCTGGAACCCTTGTCCTTCTTCGTCCTCCAAGAGTTATGCGGGGGCATACTGCCTGGCTCCGTGACGCCCGCCGCCCGAAGCCCTCGCGCGGCGCGAGCCACGCCAGGCGAAGCGATCTGGCGACTGCGGAGGCAGGAGAAAGGCGGAGGAGGGGAAGCACGCTCACGCAGCGCACGAGCGCAGCAGAGGGAGAAGAGGCGGGAGCGGCAGGGGTGTGGCGGCGAGCGGGCAGGCGCGCATGGGGCGGGCAGGTGCGGGGAAGTCGTCGTCGGTCCTTCGGGAGTGGCCGTCGGCTGGTCCTGGGCGCTCTCCTGTTGGCGGTCGCTGAACGCCGGGCGGGGTCCGGGAGAGGGGGCGGAGGGGGTGCGGTGGGCGGGGGTCATGGGCGGCGGGTGCGCCGCGTACGCGGCGCCCGCCGCGCGAGCCGCCGCGGCGGCGGTGCAAGCTGTGTGGTGCAAGCGAGATCGTGTAAGCTGTGTGATGCGAGACAGGGGGGTGGAAGCCATGAGTTTAAATCCGTGCCGCTTGTTATATATATATATATATATATATATATATATATATATAATATACATAAATGTACATATATATATATATACACACATATATATATATGTATATATATATATGTATATATACATATATCCGCTGTGTGAGCTCGAGATCGAACCTATGCGGCGTAATCTACGTGGTGCAAGCTTTGTGGTGCAAGCCATGGGGTGCAAGCTGCGCGGTGTGCGCGGCACGGGCGGCAGACCCACCTGGCGCACGGGGCACCCACGAGCGCCCACGAAGGTGGCACGGGCGGCAACCCTCGGCCGACCCACCCAGCGTCTGGGGCGCCTACGACAAGCCCTCGAGACGGCACGGGCAGCAACGTGGCGCAACCTCGGGCAGCCACAACCGTCCGCCAGGCGGCGGCGTGGAGAAAACCCTCATCCCCGCCCAAGTACGTAAGTAACAGGAGACAGAAATCCCGAGAACAAACACTGCTCGGGGAAAGAGAAAGAAGAGGAGGAGGCAGAGGAAGAGGAATCCGCCACCGTGCCGCTGGGCACGGAGTGGTCGTGCCTCCTCCTCCTCCTTCTCCTCCTCCTCTTGCTCACCCTCCTGCTCCTCCTCCCCCTCAGTTTCCCACCTCTCCTCTCTCCTCCTCCTCCCCGCCCTCCTCTCCCTCCTCCTCCTCCTCCTCCTCCTCCTCCTGCCCTCCTCCTCCTCTCCTCCTCCTCCTCTCCCTCCTCCTCGCCCTCCTCCTCCTCCTCTCCCTCCTCCTCGCCCTCCTCCTCCTCCTCCTCCTCGCCCTCCTCCTCTCCCTCCTCCTCCTCTCCCTCCTCCTCCTCCTCCTCCTCCTCCTCCTCCTCCGCCTGCAGGGGGCCCCGGCCCCTCGCCCTCGAGCCTCCGGGGGTCTCGGCGCGTGCCCCGTGGGGCCCTCGAGCTGGCCCCCCAGACGGCCCCGAGAGGCCTCCAGGACGCCCAGAGGGGGCCTCCACGATACGAGGCCGATGTGGCACCACAGCAGCCATTCGGCCCCTGACTTTCGTCCTGGGCTCGGCTTCGTGAAGTGATGCATTTCGGGGCCCTCACGTGGGAAAAAACATCACTTCACTAATCTGGGGCCCCTGGGGCCTCAGTGGGCCCTGGGGCGCAAAATCAGTGAAGTGATAGTTTTCGGGCCTCGGACAAGAGGCCTCCCAGAAGCCCAAGTCATTGACTTCTTCAAAAGGTTGTGGCAAGATCTGGGCATTCTCGCCATTTCGGCGCGTGCCCGTGGGGCCTCGAGATGGCCCCCAGACGGCCTCGAGAGGCCTCCAGGACGCCCAGAGGGGGCCTCCAAGAGGCCTCCCAGAAGCCCAAAGCACTGATTTCTTCAACAGGTTGTGGAAAGAGTTGGGCGTTCTCGCCGTTTCGGCTTGCCGACGCTCCCAGACGGCCCCAGAGGCCTCCAGGACCGCCCCAAGACTGCCCAAGAAGCCTCCCGGAGGCTCCAAAACGGCCCAAGAGGGCCCCAAGACGGCCCAAGAGGTGCCCAAAACGGCCCAACCCAAGAAGGCCCAAAAACGGCCCAAGAGAGGGAACACGAACCGGAAATCTGGGTTTTCCGCCCCAAGAGGCGCCCAGGAGTCCCAAGAGGCCCCCAAGAGGCCCCCAAGAGACACCAAGAGGCCCCCAAGAGGCGCAAACGAGGCCCCAAGAGGCCCCAAAACGGCCCCCAAGAGGCCTCCAAACTGCCTCCGACAAGCACCCGAGAGCATTCCCACGAGATCCCAACGAACATCAAACACGCTTCATATCCCAAACCCAGGCATGGTGGCGGGATGGGCCGACGGCCATGAGAAAATTAGCACCGACTAACTGCCATCACCCCCACCCTACCCCCACCACCCCTTCTTCCCTCCTCCTCCTCCCCCCTCCTCCTCCTCCTCCTCCCTCTTCCTCATCCCTCCACCCCCTGGTCCCACAGTTCCCCTCTCAGCCCAACTGCTGCCCTTCTCACCACATCTGCTGCTCCCCCTCCTGCCCACCCCCGTTGAAATCTCTCACCGCCTGCTGCCTGCCGCGGTCTGGGCGGCGTGCACCC